CTCGCCTCTCGCCTCTCGCCTCTCGCCTCTGCACGAGCCACACCCGACTCACTCACACTCTGGTTGCAACAAATCCGACTCTGGCTCTGGCTCGATCGACGGCACGCTTCCCACACTTGCCAAGCTCCCACCACCGACGCTCGTTCATCGAGCAACCGAGTTGGCATCCCCACCGCCGCACGTGCGCTCGACTCCAACGCAGCTCAGCCAGGCCGGTCCTGCGCTGTGCCTCTTTGTCTCGCTTCTTCCGTCACACCGGCTCCACAGTATCGCCTCGAGCATTCCTCCGCCATGTCTGGAACAGGCGATGCGCTGGAAGCAGCCATCTTGCAGGGGGTCGATGCGAACCCGGCCTCCACCTACCGCGAAGACCGTCGAGCCAGCTCATCGCACTCGGCGCCCAACACCGACGACGAGCTGGGCTCGGACCTCTCGCACCACGACGACGACCGCCATCTCTACCAGCGCGACGACGAGGACGATCTGCCCGCCTCCTCCACCTCCCCTCGCGGCGGCGATGCGGTCAAGGGCGTGCAGAACTCGCGCACGGCGAACCGCGGTGCCGAAGGCGCCACCAATACAGGCCCCAAGGGTGTGCTGCGCGACCAGCAGCTGCGCGCCGCCCAAGAAAGCGCCGCGCGCTCAGCCGCCGTACATGCCACCAACCGGCGCATGGAGTCGCTCGCGCTGTCCTCGGAAACCTACACGCAGCAGGTGGAGCGCGAACGCCGCGAGGCCGCCTTGCGTCTGCAGCACGAGCTCGACGATGACCAACACACGGTAAGCCGGGAAGCGATCGCAGATCTTCAAGCCAAGGAGCGTCGTCGCGAAGCACGGATTGCCGAGCTGAAAGCGTTCCATGCGTCGCGCAGCGCTGCTGACCCCACTGCCTCGGCGGGGGTGGGGAGCAACGAGCGGTGGTTTGGCCATCTGCGCGAGGTGGACGAACGCGGCTACGTGGCGGCGATCGACAACGAGCTGCACGACGTGCCCATCGTGATCCACATCTACTCCAAGGCCGTCGAGCAGTGCAACGTGCTCACCGCCGCCCTCGCCGCCCTCGCACGCGTCTACCCGCGCACCAAGTTCCTCCAGGTCCAAGCCGCCGCCATTGGCTTCGGACACAGTCCCGAGGATAGCGACGAGGAGTTTGACGAGCTCAATCCAAAGACTCTCGAGGTCCTCCCGACGCTGCTCGTGTATCGCGCGGGCAAGCTCGTGGCCAACCTGGTGCGTGTGGATCTCGACCCCCTCTGGAATCACGGTTCGGAACAGGATCTTCGCACTCTGCTACAGCACCACGGTGCCATCCCCACCTCGTCGCAACCTGCCCCACTAGCCACCGATCCCTTTTCGGCACACGTTGATTCGGACGACGATTGAATCTATTCTCTTGACATACAGAACCGACGAGTGGGAGTGTTTAGTGCGAGTCGACCCACTTGCGGGCGTTTTCAAACATCCTGAACCAGGGACCTTTGCCGTTCCATCCCTTGTCGCCACGAGCATGCGCGTGCACGGGCGCCCAGCTCATGCTCGACAGTGCCACGCCACGTTCGGGATGCGGCATGAGCGCCAGCACCCTGCCTCCATTGGCCGTGACGGCGGTGACACCTTCGGGGCTGCCGTTGGGATTGACCGGATACCTCTGATCGGTGTACTGCATCGCGACCTGGTTCCTGCGCCTGCACTCTTCCAGATCCCCCTCGGCGCGGAAAGTAGCCCTGCCCTCTCCATGTGCAATGATCGCCGGCAACACCGAGCCCGCCATATCGCGCAAGAAGATCGACTGGGCCCCACCCGTCGATGTAATCTCGACGTTCGACAGCCTGCCCTCGAAGCGTCCGGACACATTCGCCTTGAACAGCGGCCAGTGTTCCGCCTCGGGAATCAGACCGGCTGCAGCGAGCTGCGAGAGAAGCTGGCATCCGTTGCACACGCCGAGTGCAAAAGTGTCGGTACGCTGTTGGAAGAAGCGCTCGAACTGCGCACGCACCGCCGGGTTGAGCAGGATCGACTTGGCCCACCCACTACCTGCACCCAACACATCGCCGAACGAAAAGCCTCCGCAAGCCGCCAGACCCACAAAAGCATCGAGCGTCACACGGCCCTCGACGAGGTCCGACATGTGCACGTCGACCGCACTGAAGCCCGCGCGTGCAAATGCCCACGCCATCTCGATCTGGCCATTCACACCCTGCTCGCGCAGAATGGCCACCTTGGGCCGCGCCTCCATCTCCGCACCCACCACCTGGCTGCCGAGCACATCGTCGCGCGGGTTGTACGTCAGCTCGTACCGCAGCGCCGCCGCACCCGACTCGTCCTCGATGAGGCTGAACTCCTCCGCGGCCGTCTGCGGGTTGTCGCGCAGACTCTGCATGCGGAACGATGTCTCTGCCCACTTCTTCTGCAGCTCGGCACGCGTAGCAGCCATCAACACCTGCCCGCCCGCGGCGACCTTGATCTCCTGCGCCTCGGTCACCCTCCCGACGACGTGCAGGTAGTTCGACGCCACACCGGCCGCGGTAAACACGGCACTGACCGCCTTGACGTCCGCGGCACGCACCTGCAACACCGCACCCAGCTCTTCGTTGAACAGCGCCGCCACCGGGTCCGCCTTGTCGCCCGCCAGAACGTCGGCAAAGATCTCGGCACCACATCGACCGGCGAAACACATCTCGAGCACCGTCGTGAGCAGTCCGCCGTCGGAGCGGTCGTGGTAGGCCAGCACCAAACTGCCCTCGTCGCGCTTCTGCACACGCAGCTGCTTGAGCGTATAGCACGCCTCGAAGAACGCCTTGAGCACGCCTGCGGCCTCGACATCCGGCGCCTCGTGGCCCAGCTGCCTAAAGACCTGCGCCAGACACGAGCCGCCCAGACGCTGCTTGCCCGCCGCGAGGTCGACGAACAGCAGCACTGTATCAGCCACGTCGGTGCGCAGCTGCGGCGTCCACGTGCACGCGATATCGTCCACGGGCCCGAACGCCGTGACGGTCAACGAGAGCGGCGCCGTCACCTCGTGCTGTTCGCCCTGCTCGCTCTGCCACGCCATCTTCATCGACATGGAGTCCTTGCCGACGGGGATGGCCAGGCCGAGCTTGGGGCACAGGTCGAGACCGACGGCCTGCACGGCCTCGTACAGGCGTGCGCCCTCGTCCGAGTGGCCCGCGGCGCACATCCAGTTGGCCGAGAGCTTGATGCGCTCCAGACTCTCGATGCTCGCGGCGGCGATGTTGGTGAGCGACTCGGCCACCGCCATGCGCGCAGCAGCCGCGGCGCTGATCAGCGCAAGCGGCGTACGCTCGCCGCTCGCCACCGCCTCGCCCGTCAGACTCTCGTTGAAGCCGTACGAGGTGCGCGTGACCGCCACATCGGCCACCGCCACCTGGTGCGGGCCGACCATCTGATCGCGCACCACGAGCCCCGTGATGCTGCGGTCGCCAATGGTGATGAGGAAGTTCTTGGACGCCACGGTGGGCAGATGCAGCACGCGGTCGACCGCCTCGGCGAACATCTTGACCGGCTCGCTCTTGAGGCTGGGCAGGTACGACGTGAGCGACGAGTCGAACGGGATGCGCAGCGGCGTCTTGCTCGCCGCCTGGCGAGCGATCTTGGGCGGCTTGCCAAACAGGATCGGCATGGGCAGATGGATGGGCGTGCCGCCCAGCAGACGGTCGGTCACCACGAGCTCCTGCTCGAGCGTGGCACGACCAACAACCGAGTAGGGGCAGCGCTCGCGCTTGGCGATCGCCTCGAAGCGCGGCAGGTCCGCCGCGGCGACAGCCAGCACGTATCGCTCCTGCGACTCGTTGCACCAGATCTCCATGGGGCTCATCGACGGGTCGTCGACCAGCACGTCGCGGATCTCGAAGCGCGCGCCGAGCCCAGCATCGTGCACGAGCTCGGGCAGCGCGTTGCTCAGACCGCCCGCACCGACATCGTGGATGCTCTGGATGGGATTACCCTGTCCCACCTGTCCCTCGATCACGCCCGGAGCATCGCTGAGGGCGGTGCAGGCGTCGATGACCTGCTGGCAGCGACGCTGCATCTCGGGATTGTCACGCTGGACCGAGGCAAAGTCGAGCGCGGCGCGCGACGAGCTGCCGCTCGCCATGGACGAGGCCGCACCACCGCCGAGGCCGATGAGCATACCGGGCCCGCCGAGCACGATGATCGCGGCGTCCGGGGTGATCTTGTCCTTGAGCGCGTTCTTGGGGCGCACGTTGCCGAGGCCGCCGGCGAGCATGATGGGCTTGTGGTAGCCGCGCACCTCGTGCTTGCCGTCGTCGGTGGGAACGCGCTCGGACCAGGTGCGCCAGAAGCCGCTGAGGCCCGGCCTGCCAAACTCGTTGTTGAAGGCGGAGCTGCCGAGCGGGCCGTCGATCATAATGTCGTAGGCGCTCGAGATGTGCGCGGGCTTGCCAAAGTCCTCCTCCCAGGGCTGGCGGCCGTCGCCGTCGAGGAGAAGGTTGCTGGTCATGAATCCGACCAGGCCGGCCTTGGGCTTGGAGCCGCGGCCGACGGCGCCCTCGTCGCGGATCTCGCCGCCCGAGCCGGTGGCGGCGCCGGGGTAGGGCGAGACGGCGGTGGGATGGTTGTGGGTCTCGACCTTGGCAAGGAAGGGCATGGGTTCCTTGACGCCCTGGTAGACGCTCAGGCCGTCGGCGGCGGCGGCGGGGGAGGGGGCGAAGCGGGTGGCCTCGTAGCCCTCGATGACGGCGGCGTTGTCCGAGTAGGCGCTGATGGTGTGCTGTGGATGGAGCTTGTGGGTGTTGCGGATCATGCCAAAGAGTGTGTTGGGCATGTCTTTGCCGTCGATGGTCCAGTCTGCGTTGAAGATCTTGTGGCGGCAGTGCTCGGAGTTGACCTGCGCAAACATGAAGAGCTCGACGTCGGTGGGGTTGCGACGGAGCGCGGCCGAGGCGTCACCCTTGCCGGCGATGAAGGCGTCGACGAGGTAGTCGATCTCGTCGTTGGCGAGTGCGAGGCCGAGCTGCTCGTTGGCGTGGACGAGGCGCTGCTTTGCGACGGCGCGGTCCTCGGTGCCGTCTGTGCCGAGGAGGTCGACGTGGGTGAGGGGAGCGGGCTGCGCCTTGTGGAAGAGGGCGTCTGCGGTGGGGGGCACGGCCGAGATGAACTGGGTCATGCGGTCGTGGAGGAGGTCGTTGAGGCTGGCCAGCTCGTCGG